TTTTGAGACAGTCTTACTTTGTCACCCTGGCTGGAGTGAAATGGCACGATCTCGGTTCACTGCAACATCTCCCTCCCAGGTTCAAGTGATTCTCATGCATCAGCCTCCCAAGTAGCTGGGATTACAGGTCACACCACCATACCCAGATAATTTTTGTAGTTTTAGTAAAGATGGGGTTTTGCCATGTTGGTCAGGCTAGTCTCGAACTCTTGACCTCAGGTGATCTGCCCGCCTTGACTTCCAAAAGTGCTGGGTTTACAGGAGTGAGCCACCACACCTGCCAGACAAAATTCTTTACCTACAGACAGGAAATAATATTTAAGATTAAGTAAAAACTGATGCAGAATAAGTGGCTAATACGTGTAATAATTGTGTAAAAGAGGGAGAAAATAATATGTTTAACTTTTTGTCTATGTATAAAATTCCGGTAAGGTTACACCACCACCAAGTCCAAGTAGGGGAAACAGATTGGGGCATGGGGTGAAAGAGACATTTTCATTTATTTATTTATTTATCTTAATACATTTTTTGCAGAGATGGAGTCTTGCTATGTTGCCCAGGCTGGTGTCAAACTTCTGGCCTCAAGCAATCCTCCCACCTCAGCTGGGATTATAAGCATGAGCAACTATGCCCAAGCTGACATTTTCTCTATGTACACTCTTGTATCTTTTCAATTATGGAAGACATGAATGTGTTTTCTATTTTAAATAAGGAAGTAAAATATAAAACTCTCCCTTTATATTATGTAAATTTAGTTATTTTTAAAAAGTATACACATACTAAATTACTCTAAAGTAATTTGTGTGTAATCTATACATACTCTGAATTCAGAATATATCATATCCTAATGTACTTTTAAAATACGACATGTGCATTTTGCAATAATGTGCATTTTGCAATATTACTATGTTTGCATATTATATCTATAATACATACATTTTTTAATGGTTTCTTTATAAAAGAATCTGAAAGTGTGAAAGGAAAATAAATCTCAGGACCCCAAAGTCACTAAGCCAAAGGGAAAAGTCAAGCTACGAACTATGTCAGGCAAGCCTGCCTCCCATTTTATTGCTAAATAAAATAGCTACAAAGATTAAAAAAATAAAGAAGAAAATGAAGCTATATACCTCTCTCACAGTTTGCCCACTACGATATTGCTTGTGGGTCCCAAGATCTTGAAAACATTTCTGCTGAATTTCACCTTGACAATGTAAATTGATAGTTTGTCTTCACAGATAAGGACAAAGGACAGAACACAAAGACATCCGTCTGCTCACCTGAAACAAACGCGTATCTGATTGCTGCTTCTGTCCTATGTTTATGCTATGTTATGTTATGTTATGTTATGCTATGTTATTTATTTTTATTTATTTATTTATTTGAGACAGGATTCTACTTTGTCACCCTGGCTGGAGTGTGTTGGCATGATCATAGCACACTGCAGCTTCCACCTCCCAGGGCTCAAGTGATCCTCCCACCTCAGCCTCCCAAGTAGTTGGGACCACAGGCATGCGCCATTATGCCCAGCTAATTTTTGTAGCTTTTGCAGAAATTAGGTTTTGCCATGTTGCCCAGGCTGGTCTTGAACTTCTGAGCTCAAGTGATCCACCTGCCTTGGCTTCCCAAAGTGCTAGGATTACAGGCTTGAATCACCGTGCTGGCCCCTGTGTTTATTTTATCATATGTAAAAATGCAGATTCACTGGGCTAGATGAATGCATAGGTGACTAGTCCTCTACCCACCTCTCACATGTGAAGGGCTGATCAAAGACACAAAAGAATGGAACCATTTGCCTCTCATCTACCCATGCCTTTTAAAAATTTCTTCATCTTTCACCAACATCCACGCTTTCTTCTTTAAATACTGAAGCCCTTAAAATCATCTTTGAAGACAGGCACAGACCTGTCTCCTGGGCGTGCATCCTTAACCTTGGCAAAATAAACCTCTAAATTAATTGGCACTTGCTTCAGAAACATCTTGGTTTACAAAAGCGTTAAAATATTAACTAACAGTGGTTATTTATAGGTAGTTGGCACATGAGTGATTTTAATTTTCTTCTTTATCCTTTTTTCTGTTTTTCTCTCACTTTTTTCTGATAAACATATCAACTCTAATAATCAGTAAGAAAATAATGGATGCTGCCCTCCCCTACATGGTGCACAGGACCAAGTTCTGTGTCTTCAATGCATTTCCATTCTCCTCCTGTACCATTTCCCATCCTCCCCCCGCACAGCTGGATTGGTGGTTTCTGAACATGGCCCCTTAGCTGTTCTCCCCTGTTCTGCAGAAATGCAACCTGGCCTCCACTGTGCAGCTCATGTGTCACCCCCTTCCAGACAGAATCAGTGGCTCCCTCCTTTGTGACAAGGTAGCCAGCTGTTTCCCACTGGGCTGGATTCCTGGTGGGTGGGGACCTTGTTTTCTTGTCCCTGTGCCACCTGGGCTGGCCCCTGCCTTGACAATGGCCCCTGTCTTGCCAAGTGTTGGCAAGTGCAGGCTGAAAGACCACAAGCGCTTCTTGCTCCCTCCACCTTCCGTGAGATGGCTGGGTTACGAGAGTCCCAGTTGGCCACAGTCCTCTCTTCACCGCGGTGTCTCCTTTCTGTGCATCACCATTTCCAGGGTGTTCTGCCAGATCTGCAGCAGTGCTTGCTCCTCACTGGGGGGGCCCTCGACTTGGCAGCATCCTTCAGACAGAGCGGCATCTTCCAAACCAAGGATGGATACCGACCAACCCCCAGGGGTCTAGCTGGAGGAGAAGGGGCTCTTGGAGACAGCTGATTGGCCTCAGGAGAGGGGCAAGAGGAGGGCTTTTTCTCACATCCGGTCAGTCATCCTGGTGAAAGTGGGGCTGGGAGCCCAGGTAACACATTTGTCCTGACACTTACACTCCCTCCTGGGAAGATTCCAAGTCTTCTTGCCTGCCCCTGTCCAGAAGAAAATTGGGCAGGAGGGGAGAAGACAGGAGCAGGGGAGTGACTGAAGCAGAGCCCAACTCCAATCTGTCTCCTTTCCTCTTAGAGCATTTGAGATGGTTCCTTGCCTGTTAGCAGATTCATGAAGAAAAGTGGAGCTGGTAGAGAGTCCCATTCCTTCCCAGTTTCTCAGCGTACAAAGATCCAATAATTCACAGACTGCTTTGTCTCTTAGCCAAGCCCTGCCCCCAAGTCCACATAAAAGTTGAACCTTTTTTTTTTTTTTTAAGATGGAGTCTTGCTCTATCACCCAGGCTGGAGTGCAGTGGTGTGATCTTGGCTCACTGTAACCTCCACTTCCTGAGTTCAAGTGATTCTCCTGCCTCAGCCTCCCGAGTAGCTGGGATTACAGGTGTGCATCACCATGCTCAGCTAATTTTTGTATTTTTGGTAGAGACAAGGTTTCACCATGTTGGCCAGGCTGGTCTCAAACTCCTGACCTCAAGTGTTCCATTCGCCTCAGCCTCCTAAAGTGCTGGGATTACAGGCATGAGCCACCATGCCTGGCTGAACCTAAAGGAAACGGAAGAGAAGAGCAGGCTGTGTGCAGTGGCTCACACCTGTAACCCCAGCACTGTGGGAGGCAGATGTGGGAGTTAGAGAGTAGCCTGAGCAATATATCAAGACCCTGTCTCTACAAGTAATCAAATAATTAGCCAGGCATGCTGGGGCACACCTGTAGTTGTAACTACTCAGGAGGCTGAGGTGGGAGGATGGCTTGAGCCCAGGATGTCAAAGCTGCAGTGAGCCGGGATTCACCACTGCACTCCAGCCTGGGCAACACGGTGAGGCTCTGTCTCAGAAAAAAAACAAACAGAGAAGGGCAGGTGTTGAATTCCTTTTACATCCATCTGTGCTTTCTCTTAAGCCTTGGTTTAAGAGGTACTAATACAGATGCTTCTTAATCCAGCTGCTGTTGCTTTCATCCTTATCCTCATATCCCAGGAGATTTACCAAGAGGATAAATCCCAGTTGGAAGACTTGGACATCTGGCTCCATTTTCTGTATCATCTCCAGATTAGGGCAGCCAGGGAGAAACCTGGACGTGGAGGGCACGCGGCCCTGCACAGACATAGACAACTATGAAGTCAACTATTAAAAGAGTCCCCGGCCAGGCACAGTGGCTCATGCTTGTAATCTCAGCACTTTAGGAGACCGAGGCTGGCAGATCGTGAGGTCAAGAGTTCAAGACCAGCCTGTCCAATATGGTGAAACCCTGTTTCTACTGAAAAAAAGCAAAAATTAGCTGGGCATAGTGGCACATGTCTGTAGTCCCAGCTACTTGGGAGGCTGAGGCAACAGAATCTCTTGAACCCAGGAGGCAGAGGTTGCAGTGAGCCGAGATGATGCCACTGCACTCCAGCCTGGGTGACAGAGTGAGACTCTGTCTCAAAAAAAAAAAAAAAAGTCTCCGTGCACAAAATCCTTCCATTAATAATCAATAATGATTAATATTTACTAGATAATACATATGACATGTTTTGAGGGCTTTTCCCCTGTGTCAGGGAAGTGGGTATGTTTTTATATCTCCATATTACACATAAGGAAACTGAGGCACAGAGAGGTGAAGTAAGTAGCCCAAGGTCACTCAGCTAACAAATAGTCCAGCCAGGATTTGAACCCTCTGGCTCTAGAGCCTATGCCCTTAACCACGAGGCTATCCTGCCAGGGTTATACTATCTTCTTCAGGGGCTTGTGAGGCACAGCTTGACCCCTGACCCTCTTTGGGTACCCTGGGCCACCCCATGTGTCCAGAGTCTGATTTTGAACTCTAACCAGCCATTCCCACCCACCCCTTGGCTCCCCAGCAGAGTGAAGTGGATCAGCTCCAGCTCAAGGCTGCTGGGAGCCCACTGAAGGAAGGCATTGCCTAGAGCGGTGTCACGCAGAATGAGCCCCGTCCAGCACAGCCTGCGCTGTTCATTCGGAGCTGCGGCAGGCTCACTGGGTCTTCATGGCAATGCTGGGGGGTGGACTAGAGTATCCTACATGGCATGTGAGGAATTGAGTTCCGTGAGGTTAAGTCACTGGCCCAGAATCCCAGAGTAGCCCAGCCAGGATTCAAACCCAGAACTCCATATGCCACGTGCGGCTCTCCCACAAATCCACAGCTACATCCCAGGCATTCCTGGCTGACAAATGTAGTTTGGGTGTTTTACCGTGGTCTTTAACCCACAAGACCCTAAGCTACAATGTTCCCAGTTCCTTTCCTTCCCAGACTCTCAAGAAACCACTTGCCAAACTCCTACTTGCTATAGAATTGCTTGAGGAGAGAATTTAAAACGCAGATTCACAGAGTTCATCCCCCAGGGATTCGGACTTTGGAGGTCTGGGGTAAGACTCTGAATTCTTAGCAAACCCTCAGATAATTCTGAAGCAGTAGGATCCTGATGCACCCATCTCTGAGAAACCTGCTTTACACCCATCTGAGCAGTATCTGTCCCAGCCCCTCACTCGTGGCAGGGGGCCCAGAAACATCTGAGGGATGGGTAAATGTTCCTGATTGTGGGGTTCAGCTTTCTCTTTTGAGGGTTGAAAATGTTATAAAGTGCAATGGGAGATTTTCTAGGCTGAAGATGGGCCCTTTTGCCTTCTCAGAGACTGGGCTGCTTCTCCTGTGTTTCACTCTGGAGGTGAAGGTGGAGTGAGGGGAGAGGGCCCTGGGCTGCGCCTGTGTTTTCAGACCAAGTTGCTGCTGTCTTGGCTGAAATCATAAAAAAGAGCCCCAAGGCAGTGCCCCAACCGTTCCCAATCACCTGTTATTTGTCAAAAATACAGATTCCTGCCCCTAACTCTGATTTGCTGAATTAGGAAGAGGAGGGGACAGGGCCCAGAAATCTGCACTCTCAGCCGGCACCCCAGTCATTCCTTATGCACACGAATGCTTGAGAAATTCTGTCGTAAAACATGGACTTAGGAGTGTCACAGACCTGGGTTCCGGTCCCAGCTCTGCGGCAAAGTAGCTGTGTGCAATCTCAGCCTCTGTGAAACTCAGCTTCCTCATCTATAAGAAATGGGTTACTACACATGCTTATTGGTCTTGCTGCGAGCTGATCCTCACGAGACCAATGAAACCATGGGGAAATGTACGCAAAGCATGGGACACCTCAGAGAGGCGGCACTCCCAGCCTAGTGGTAAAGAGAGGGATGCATAGAGGAATACTTTCCCTGGGAGCGCTGAGCATTACTCACCCACTGGCAAACACTGACCTGCTTCAAAACAATTCCGACTTTCCATTTCCTCTGGGGGGAGCTCAGTGAAGCTTTCAAAGGTGACTAGGTCCTTTCCCATACTCAGGTGTCAGCCATCCCAAGTCCCATGTTGGGGTCATGCGTTGTAAACAAAACATAATACAATTTTGACTCTCTCCACACCTCCAGCTGAGCCCTCCATCCACCCCCCTGCACCCCCCCCCATTTCCCCTCCACGTGATATTTCCAAATCCCTCACTGGGAAGCAGGCCCAGTCTGAAAGGCCCTCTTGGCAAATCATGGGTCTGCCAAGGTCCCTGAGACCTTTAGCGTCAAAGCCAGGAGTCCCCAAGACCTTCTTTCTCTTTGGCTCTCCCAGTCTGGCCATCCAAAGAAATGTCAGAGCTTTTAAAAAGTTTCAGCCATTCATAACGGGTGAGTCCGCTCTGGAAACATTCCCCAGCTCTGCTGAGAGCCTGCCAGGCGACTTGATGACGTCCTGCTCACAGCACAGACAATGGGCATGGGAGAACAATGCCGAGGAGAAAAACACCACCCCCCACCCATCCATGGGCTCACATCCTCCTAGGAACCCACCTCCCCGACGCCCCACCCCCCCATACATTCCCAGAGCTTTGGGGGGGGTGGGGGGAAGAGTGCAGAGAGGGGCTAGAGGGCAACTGTGAGAGCAAATGGGGAAAGGAAATCACCAAAATTTCCCCCATTTGGCTGCATTCTGAACCAGTTGGGTGAGTCAGATTAGAAGCCAAATCTGCTTATTCTGGCTCTCCTGCCAGCCCCGGGGCTACTGCTTATGGCCTGACACGGAACGGATTAAAACCTGAGCTGGGAAACAAAGCAGTTCAAAGTCACTGACCTATGGTGCACAGCGTTTGGGCAGGGGTGTGCCTTGTTGGAGGCCAACCGTTGCCACTTAATCAACCGTATGCAAGGAGTTCAACCTCCCAGAGCCTCGGTTTCCTCATCCACTGAAGTGGGGAAATCGTGCATGCTCTGTCTCCCTCACAGAAGGTGAGGCAACATGGAACGCTGGCTGTGAAAGCACCTTCATAATTATTAATAAATTGGCCAGGTGCAGTGGCTCACGCCTGTAATCCCAGCACGCTGGGAAGCCAAGGCGAGTGGATCACGGGGTCGGGAGTTCGAGACCAGGCTGACCCACATGGTGAAATCCCATTTCTACTAAAAATGCAAAATTAGCCAGGCATAGTGACATGCGCCTGTAATCCCAGCTACTTGGGAGGCTGAGGCAGGATAATCGCTTGAACCTGGGAAGCGGAGTTTACAGTGAGCTGAGATCATGCCATTGCACTCCAGCCTAGGCAACAAGAGTGAAATTGTCTCAAAAAATAAATAAAAAACAAAAAATAATAATTATTATTATTTTAAAAATTACTTGGCCACCAAGTGGTGTCATTACCCTGACTAAGCCCCTGGAGCAGGTCATAGCCAGGAATTATAAGGTATGGTCCTTTTCAACCCAGGCAGCTTACAACATAAACACGAGAAAAAGACTTAGACTCTGAAAGCCTAGATACAAGAGTATGGACTAGGCCGGGCGTGGTGGCTCACGCCTGTAATCCTAGCACTTTGGGAAATCGAGGCAGGCAGATTGCTTGAGCTCAGGAATTCAAAACCAGCCTGGGCAACATGGCGAAACCTGGTCTCTACTAAAACACAAAAAGTTGGCCAGGCCTGGTGGCATGCGCCTGTAGTCCCAGCTACTCGGGAGGCTGAAGCAGAAGAATTGCTTCAATCTGAGAGTTGGAGGTTGCAGTCAGCAGAGATAGCACCACTGCACTCCAGCCTGGGTGACACAGCAAGGCTCCGTCTCCAAAACAAAGCAAAACAAATAGTGTAGACTGTAGATGGCTAGAATTTCTAGACTGTCTGGCTTGGGGTAGGTCTGGTTGGGGGTTGGGAGAATGCTTGGGGGAATTACTGAGAAGTGGTCACTGTTTCTACACTAAGCTCTGGTTTTACTTTGGTTGTGGGTATTCAGGTGTCCTTTCAGGCAGTGGAGGTTATGAGGGAGCTAAGGTCCCTTGGCACCAGCATTAGCATAGGCCCCCTGGCTACCAGCAGAACTGGGCACACACAGGAGTATTCACAGGGCTGATCAAAGAAGGCTTCCTGGAGGAGGGGAGTTTGAAGCATGTCTGAAAGAAGAGTGGGGAATACAAAACACAAAAGTGACAGCAGACAGGTTTATGTAAAATCCAGGAGCAAGAATGAGACTCTGAGGGCATCCAGGGCCCACCTTCATTGTAGGGACAGAGAACTACGGTCTCAGCCAGGTGAGAGATTTTTGCCAAAGGCCCAGTGACTGAACTGGAACTGGTGCTGCAGGGAACTGGAAGGAAGGAAGTCCAAACAGAGGGAATGTGGACAGATGCAGGCACAAGGGCTTCAGGGAGGAGGTGCCCAAGGGGAAAGTGGGTTCTTGGTCTAGTAGCAAGATTGAAGAGTCTGCAGAGAACCCAGGGCCAGGGTACAAGGGGCTTAGGCACCTTGCTGGGGAGGAGGCACAGCCCTTAGTGGTGACAGTGGGACAGTCAATGGGATGTCCTGAAGCCTCTCTGGAGCCCCTCTGCAGCCCAGGAACACCTAGAAGTGGATGTTGGGGAGCAGAGTTTGGAAACACCTTGGAAATGATTGGCTGCAGCTGTGACTGCAAACGGCACTCAAGTCTGAAGTCTGAGCTCAAGGCAGGAGGGTGGCCCCGAGGTGCCCGCTGCTGCATGGAAGGGAAGGGAGAGAGCTGGCCGGGCAAGAGTGGGTTCCAGCAGGTTCCTAAGGCAGCAGACACTTCCTGTTTACATTACATTCACAACTATGAACCTAGCAAGGAGGCCCAACTCAGTTTACAAGACTTGCAAGCCAGGTAGGTACTGCAGGGGCTGAGGAAGGCAGGGCAGGGAGGTGGAAGGAGCAAGTCATCTGGGCAGCTGTTTACAATCTCTGGGATAATTCCTACCACATCTACGAAATGCAGATACCAGAGCCCACTTCAAAGCCATTGTTATTTCTGCAACTGACCTCTTTCCTTTACCAGGCTGTGAATTCCTTGAGGATATAACACTGTTTATTTATTTCTGAATCTCCAGTGTTTCACAGAGGGGTCTAGGCCAAGAAGACTTTTTTTTTTTTGAGACAAGGTCTTGCTCTGTCGCCCAGGCTAGAGTGCAGTCGTGTGATCAGAGCTAAATGCAGCCCAAACTCCTGGGCTCAAGCTCTCTTCCTGCCTCAGCTTCCAGAGTAGCAAGGACTACAGGCGTGCACCACCATGCCTGGCTACTCTTCAAATATTCTGTAGAAACGAGGTCTTGCTATATTGCCCAGCCTGGTCTCAAATGCCTTGCCTCAAGCAGTCCTCCTGCTTTAGCTTCTCGAATCACTGGGATTACAGGTGTGAGTCACTGGACCTGACCCAAGGAGATATTTTTCTTTTTCTTTTTTTTTTTTTTTGAGACCGTCTCACTCTGTTGCCCAGGCTGGAGGGCAGTGGCACTATCTCAGCTCACTGCACCCTCCGCCTCCCAGGTTCAAGCGATTCTCGTGCTTCAGCCCCCTGAGTAGCTGGGATTACAGGTGCCCACCACCATGCCTGGCTAATTTTTGTAATTTTAGTAGAGGCAGGGTTTTACCATGTTGGACAACTGGTCTTGAACTCCTGACCTCAGGTGATCCACCAGCCTCAGCCTCTCAAAGTGCTGGAATTACAGGCGTAAGTGTCTATTAAATTTTTAAAAGCTTTAAAATTTAGGTAATGTTTGTTAAGTTCATAGCCCTTTGCCTAACCTCTATATCTGTTAGAATAAGTGACATCAGAATTCCCAAACTCTAATGCCATTTTAGGAGGACAGGTAGTTCTCCACAGATAGAAAGGGTTTTTATGCAGTTGTGTGCCCCACGGAACCCTTCCTCCTTTTAGTAAGAAACCTTTGGGCCAGGCTCGATGGCTCACGCCTGTAATCTCAGCACTTCGGGAGGCCGAGGCAGGCGGATCACAAGGTCAGGAGTTTGAGACCAGCCTGTCCAACATGGTGAAACCCTGTCTCTACTAAAAAATACAAAAATTAGCTTGGCGTGGTGGTACAGGCCTGTAGTCCCAGCTACTCGGGAGGCTGAGGCAGGAGAACTCCTTGAACCCAGGAGGTGGAGGTTGCAGTGAGTCAAGATTGTGCCACTGCACTCCAGCCTGGGCAACAGAGTGAGACTCCTTTCCAAAAACAAACAAACAAAAAGGAAACCTTTGGCTCCTGGTCACAGCCCTCACAGTGAAACACAGGAGGCAGGTGATGCCTGTTTCTACCCTCAGGAGAAAGATGACATAACAACAGCTTACACTGTGTAGTGCTTTCTATATGACCAGTAAATTCTGCAGGCTTTTCATGTACTAATTCATTTAATCCACATGCATTCTATGATCAGCCCATTTTTCAGATGGGGAAACTGAGGCAGAGAGAAGCCATGCTATGTGGCTAAGGTCATACAACTAGGATGTGGTGGTGTCAGGACTCAGGTTGAGGCAGCCAGGCACAGCACTGCCTCTATTGCTTGTAAATCTCAACCTCACCCCACCCCCCACTCCTCCTCTTCTATAGAGAAGCTGGGCAGTAAATTCCATTACCAAGTAGAACCCTTGGTGGGTGGTGTGGAATCACAGGAGGCTGAAGGCGGCCACTCGAGGCACCTGCCCAAGGCAGGGAATAGTACTGAGCCCTAACTCCTGGCCCCAACCCCTCTTCCCCGAGGTGGCCCTCCTACCGTCATCAACTCCGGCTTTAAGAATCCCAGATTAAGGGCTGGGCGTGGTGGCTTATGCCTGTAATC